ATCAGATGTTCACATAAAATAGTTAAAGATAACCATTAGGACAAAAACATGAACTTCCCAAGTTTCCAGACACTATAACTATACACATAAATGAAGCATTATAAATGAACCAGTGAAAAATTATAAAAAGAAAAATAATCAATATAACCAAAACATGATATATAATATTCCAGAAATAAAGCATGATATGAAATATAGCAGAAAAGTAAACATACAGGTCATATAAATAAAGATTAAGTAAATTACCTCCCCATAAAGAAAACCTCAAATTGAATTACAAAACAAAATCGAATTGTGTTTTCAGATTCAGGAAGCACAGCTAAGGTGAAATAACTCATCAAGGTCTGACACGAGAAGATGCGTGGAAGTCTGTCCGGTGGGGAGCGTGACGAAGGCCACTGCCCACCCGGGGATGTCATCACTGAGAAGACGAGGAGGCATGCTGTGTCGGCATGCCTGCAGCAAAAATCATAGAAAATAGCCAAGAGACGGGGACACAGCAGGAGTAAGAGATTCTGCGCTTACATCTCGGTTTCTGACGTATCAAGTGACTGAAAAAAACAAAACTTTGTAAATGGAACACATCAAGAATATAAGTTATCCTTAGTAGGCCTAATTGCTTTTCATGGAGTTAAATTCTGTGACTGCTCATTCTTTTAATAATACCATAAAATACTGGAACTAATTGATCATATTTTAAGCCACAAATAAAATCTTTGGCCACTTAAGAAATTGCAAGATAGAAATGCATATGTATAGATATTTTAAGAAGTAAATAAAAGCAAATAAATTCATGGGCTACTGGACACAAACAAGTGCAGTAAGGTGTCAGGTTACAAGATTAATATGATGATGTAGCTGGCTTTACTTTTATACAAGCAACAATAGATAAGAAAATATAACAGAAAAAAAAAAGACTGTCCTAACAATGGTAAGAAAAAGATGAAGAATTTATTAAATATACATGTATATGTATTTTTAACAGGAATTTTTTGTGAAGTTTTTTTATTAGAAAGTAAGATATACAGAGAGGAGGCGAGACAGAGAGGAAGATCTTCCATCCAATAATTCACTCCCTAAGCAGCCGCAATGGCTAGAGCTGTGCCAGTCTGAAGCCAGGAGCCCGGAGCTTCTTCCGGGTCTCCCACGTGGGTGCAGGGTCCCAATGCGTTGGGCCATCCTTGACTGCTTTCCCAGGCCACAAGGAAGCTGGATGGGAAGTGGGGTTACCAGGATTAGAACTGGCGCCCGTATGGAATCCTGGCATGTTCAAGGTTAGGACTTTAGCCGCTAGGCTACCATGCCTGGCCCACATGTATATATTTTAAAGAATCATTTATGTATTTAAAAAACAAAGTGCTGGAAAGGCAAGGTATAGATCTTACATCCCATGGTTCGCCCCCCCAAATGCTCTCAACGGCCAAGGGTATGACAGGCCAAAACCGGTAGCCTGGATCTCCCTCCAGGTGTCTCACGGGGTGACAGAACGTCAAATATCTGGTCCGTCCTGAGCTGCCTTGCAGGTACACTAGCAGGACACAGGATCCAAAGTGCAGAGGGACTGGAACCTGAACTAATTACTCCCCTTCGGGAGAGGGGTGTCCCACACTGCACCACGGTGCCCATCCTCCAAAATATATTTAAGATCTGGGTTTTATAAAATTTAAATGCTAGGACCCGGGTAGTGGCTCATGGGTGCTAGTCCTTGCAAGCACCAAGATCCCATATAGGCACCAGCTCATATTCCAGCTGCTTCACTTCCCATCCAGCTCCCTGTCCATGGCCTTGGGAAGCAGTAGAGAGAATCGTCCAATTTGGGCAATAGATCTTATGGCTATCCTACTTTCACAGCTACTAAGAGGTTTCCTTTTTTGCAATTTGAATTATAATGTGATCATTTCAGTGCCTATCCATTGCCGCCACATGAGGCATTGTTACCAATCTCAACTTCCTTGAAAAACGATCTTATCTCTCTAAAATGTGTATCTATAAAAAATTGACTAAGACTTCTCATCCACTTGGTAACATCTCAAATACTCAACCTGCCCTGGTTTTCTATAAGCTTTTCTTGCGAGTCCCTCCTTACAAATCCCGTCTGAATTGAAAGCCTGAGAGGAACAAACGGTCCTTACTGTGAAATTCTTCCATTAAACTGAAGATCTATGTTCCAACTTCGCCAGCAATGTAAATTATCCTGACAGATGTGTAGCGAACAACCTGGACACATTTACAAAACTGCACATTCACCTTTTCCTAGCTTCTCTCACCACATTCCATTGCTGCGAGGCTTCACCTCAGCTGGAACTCCTAGAAGTGTACACATTAGAAATACAAAGCTTCTTAGCATTTGCACTTCCACTGACTCAAACGGTGAACGGAGAGTGAGGGGTACAGACATGGGGCAGCCTGTCCTCTGAGTCTCTAGGAAGCCAGAGAGTGAGGGGTACTTGGGAAGCCTAGAACTGGAGCATGGGAGCGATACAAGCGTGAGACCCAGAGGGTGAGCCCCTCCCCTCGTGGGCTTTTGTGGGAGCTTGAGAGGGGAGTCCGCCGTGCTGCCCCTCCCCGCCTCCACCACGGTTCCCGGCGATGCTAGGTGAGCCACGTTTGACTCACAGGTGGGCAGAAAGGATTACATAGGAGGGGCAGGTGTGGCCCTGAGCCAGCTGCGCAAGACCATACATAGCAAGTCTTTTGAGGACCCTCCAGTACACTGCGATATGAATGTTCTGGATATAGGGTGAGCCCTGGGGGTAGTGACAAGCATCACTACACAGGAAACAGCAGGAAATTCTCACTGCAGGGACATGGCAGAGCATCCTGTGCGAGCATGGAGGCAGAGATGAAAACCAAGGAACAGCCGGAGCCATTGGAGGCTGGAAGCATCCAGGAAAGATGCTCCCGGCAGCCCTTGGAGAGGTCATGTCCCACACCTGTGTTTGTTTAGTCTCGGGTGGAGAGAGAGCAGCTGACTTCCTGTTGTTGATGGTCTGCCAGTTGTGGTAGTCTAGCTAATGCTGCTGACCACCAATTCCTTAGCAAATCACCACAGTCCAGTCTGCAGAATCCGCGCAGGTCACCCCCAGCTGGCCATCGTCTCTGCTTGTCACCCTGCCTTTCAGCCTCACAGCAGTGACAGCATGGCTTAGCACTGCTGCCCCCTTCTCCACTAAAAACCCTCCCTGGGTCCTTCTCCCTCCCACCCTGTGTTCACCAAAGGTGGCCTCCTCGTTGCTCTCTCTCCACCCTTGGTTCTTGGCACTCTCACAGCACCAGCTACCTGACCACTGTGTAACCCAGCACCCTCCGTCCAGATAACCCCAGGCCCCCTGCCTCTCCGGCTTGTGCTCAGATCTCACCCCTGACTTAATCACGTCCGAGATGCCTGAACCCCCTTTGTCTGTATCACTCTATTGATTTTCCAACAAGGGCCCATCAGAAAACATAATTACTTTGTTTATTTTCTTTGTCACAGCCTCCCTCTACTATTAAAAGGAGACGACCTTGTCTGTCCTGTTCACTGCCACATTTCCAATAGCAGCGCTTAGCAGTACTTGTCGAAAGAGTGAAGAGATGAACACACCTTGTCCGTTCAGGGTGTCAACCAAAGAAAATGGAGATGGTATGTACTTTCAGCGCCACCCAAGAACCACTTTCTGCAGGTAACCCAGGAGGCCACTTACACGCATCCTCACTGGATGGGTTAAGCTCCGTGTCACAGCAGACAAAAAGCCCACAGCTCAACAGTGTTTGCCAACGATGGACGACTTCAAAGGTATATGGAAGTTAGATGTTTGGGCGGACCCTTGAAGGTAGTTAGTAATCTTTGGACATAGTTTTTTTGCTTTGTTTCATTTTTGGCCTAAGGAAGAGAATGCAGGCTGACTGTTTGCTGCAGTGGTGAAGACGCCCTGGTTTGCCTGCGCCCACGTGAGGGTGCCTGGGTTTAAGCCTTAGCTACTCTCTGACTCCAGCACCAGGTGATGGCTCAAGGAATTGGGTCCTTGTCATTCAAGTGAGAGCCCTGGCTTTGAGAATCAGTGGATGAGTGATCTGTCTGCCTCTACATACAAATAAGTGTGGAATAAAGAATGTGTGTTACATGGACCTGAAAAATATCAATAGTAATGGCTGCCCTTCTTCCCCTCACAGCCTGTGGTATCTGGTATCCTTGGGAGACACACAGCTGGGTCCCCCTGGATCTGGGGCGGAGGTCCTCCAGGAGGTGGGGAGCGGATTGAATGGCGACCTCTGACCCGTCGGCTTCCTGTGGGCAGCTGTGGTCCTGGTCCAGTGGCTCCACCTGGGAGCAAGGCTAGCCTCCGTGTGGGGTTGCGCTGCGGAAACGCCCTTCCAGAGTGTGCTTGTAAAAGAAGGAAATGGGCCATCTAGCCGATCTTTGGACCCAAACTCAGCCCTATTGAAGCTTGGTCAGCCCGGACTCCCAGCCGGTTGGATGAGCAGTAGATGTGGCTGGTGGGCGTGGCGGGACGCTGTATGGGCGGGGCCTGTGGAGAGGCGGAGCGCGGCGCCGTGAGGGGCGGGGCGTAGGACGAGAAGGGGCACTGCTCTGCGAAGGGCGGGGCCTAGGGCGAGGCGGGGGGCGGCGCTGTGGGGGCGGGGCCTAGGGCGAGGAGGTGGCCATGAGGGGCGTGGCGCGACGCTGTGAGGGGCGGGGCCTAGGGCGAGGCAGGGCGCTGCTCTGTGAAGGGCGGGGCCTAGGGCGAGGCGGGGCGCGGCGCTGTGGGGGCGGGGCCTAGGGCGAGGCAGGGCGCTGCTCTGTGAAGGGCGGGGCCTAGGGCGAAGAGGTGGCCATGAGGGGCGTGGCGCGGCGCTGTGAGGGGCGTGGCCTAGGGAGAGGCGGGGCGCTGCTCTGTGAAGGGCGGGGTCTTGGAAGGGCGGAGACTACGCTGCCCAGAGGGGGCGTGGCGCGGGGCGGGCGGGGCCGGCCGACGTGGCAGCCACCAGGCCTGGCGTTCGCCGGCGGCCATCTTGGAGGCGGGGAGGCGCGCGGGGAGCTCTGTCCGCATCTTCCTTGTCTGCTTCGGTGCTGCACCTCGACCTCCGCGTCCCGCGCTTTGCAGACGCCGTGCAGACGCTCGCTCGGGACCGCAGGTGGGCGTCCTCGTAGCCCTCGTAGCACGGCGCTTTGGGATGCGGGCGCCGGACGCTGAGGGGTGCAATCCTGGAAGGTGCCCGGGGTCGGCAGGGCGGACGGCCGCCGGCTGAGGTGCGAGCTGCCTCGGCCGCGGTGGGTGCGGCCGGGAGTCGGGCTCCCGCGCCTTGCCCGTGTGGCTCCACCTTTCCGCTCGCCAGCGGCCCGGTCCGGCCTGGGGACGTGGCAGAGCTCCAGCAGGCCGGGTCCCCCCGCCCCCCTCCGGGCCCCCAGACGGAACCTGCTCCGGGACGAGGTTCGGGGTTGCTGTCAGCCGTCGCTGTCTCCAAGTCTTTATCCAGAGAGATGGCGTGGACGTTTCGCTCTGCTGACACGTATCGGCGTCCCGGTGCTGGACAGGCTGGGCTTTCCGTGATCATTCAGACAAGTTTGTTTGGGGTCAGAGGTGAGAGTGCATAGCCGGAGCCCAGCCTGTCCCAGCGCCCGCTCTCTGTCCCAGGAGGCACCAGTGCATTGTCAGTAATAATTGCATTTAATGCTGCTGGAGTGGCCGTAGTCCCATTATTTCATTTCTTGCAAGTATCAAGTATCATTCTCTGGCTTTTTTTGTTTGTTTAAACCGAGGCAAAAGCAAGTGAGAAGAGCAGGGCCTGGCTGAAGAATAAGAACTCCATTTTTGAATCCGAAATTTCCTTAATGTTGATATACAGATGCAGAGCTCACTCGGTATTGTGGAGTCAGTGTCAGAAGCTTTGAAAGAGAGCAGTTTGTCATTCCCAGGTTATGGCTTTGTATTCAGTCTGCAGGTTCCTTTGCCAAGCAAGGCATTGTCACAGTGTCAACGTGGCTTGCGGAATCTGCTGTAAGACTGAATGGGATCTGGTGTAGAGAGGTGATGGCATGGCAGCTGAGGAGGTGGGGCAGACAGGTGGCTCTGGCGAGTGAGGCAGTGGGAAGCCGGCTTCTGCTTTGCTTCACAGGCGCTGAGCGGAAGGAGCTAACCGCCTGGTCCCCTGTCCCCCACCAGCGTCCTGGCTTGGCATTGACTGACTTGTTGGAAGTTTGGTGCATGCTTTTCTAACTTTCCATCCCGCAGCGTTCCTCTCTAGGTTGGAATGTCCCTTGCACCCTCCAAAAGTGATGTCTTTTTGACTTCTCCCCGGCTTCTGAGCCTGTCGCCCGCGCTTGTCCGAAACACTCTGCGTCCTCAGGCTCCATGGTCAGCTGGGTTTCTTCCTTTCCTTTCTGCTCACCTCCTCCCCTGCAAGATCATCTTCTGTCTGACTAAAGGAGTACTTGGTTTTAAATCATTCTCCCTTTTGCTGTGTTCTTCTCAGGTAACTGTCTCAGATCTGGTTGTAGACATTGTTGGATCAGTGATGACACCCACAATTATATGGTTTCCAAGCTCCAAACTGAGACAGAGTCTGCTTGGATGATTGAAGGATGTTAAACTTAGCCTGTCAGGGGGTTCACCTCCAGCTGCTCCAGGAAGATGACATCCACCCAGCACACTCCCTCGCTTCGTGGGTGCATGCCATGTGTCTCCATATCCAGACAGCCACGGTTTGGCCACCTAAACTGATCTTGAACTATCTGTCCTCCATCTCTGCCGTCACCACCTTAATCCAGTCAGTTTGTCAGCCTTGGTGCGGCTGGTGTGACAATCAGACGCTGTCTGCATTGTGTGCGAGTCAGCCCTGGTGGGCACAGTGACCCCTCTCTGTGCATGGTTGGTCCTGGTTGTCCATGCCTCCTGTCAGGGCTGCTTGTGTGAGGGCCTTTACAGTCTGCATCCATCTGCTCTTTCTGTCCAGTGACGTCACATTTTTATAGATCCCCTCATTTTAACTTTATTTCAGACAAGGGGAAATCCCCTACCTGCTGGCTTACTTCCCATATGTCTGCCGTAGCCTGGCCTGGACAGAGTTAGTGGCCAGCAGCCCAGTCTGAGTCCCCCCGGGTGAGTACCAGGGACCCTACGTAGAGCACTGCCCACTGCCTTGTGGGACATGCATTAGCAGAATGCTGCAATCTGCAGAAGGCTTAGGATGCCAGCCGAGGCCCGTGATATGGGCTGGGCTGTTAGGCCACATGCTTGCCCTAAAGGAGTTGTTTCAGGCACAAACACGATTTGCTGCGTTCAGCATCAGTATCCTTCAACAAGTGAGTGAAGAAGCTGAGACACATGTGCAATGAAGTACTGGTCTACAGTACATAGAAACCACTATCGACGCATCCAGCAACTTGGGTGAATCTGAGGGGCGTTAGGCTGTGTGAAAAGTTTACCTACGGTACAGTTCTGATTATGTTATGTTAAATGGGAAGAGGTTGCCCGCTGGTGGGCATAGGAGTAGCACAGGGGTTTCTTTGGAGTCAGGAAGTGGCTCTGCCTCCTGATGGTGTGATGGCTATGAACAAGCCTCTGTATGATGAAACCGCAGAACTGAGCACACACACACACAGACACACGTGTGCATGTTCTGATGGGTGGTGGTTATGCAGATTGGTGTGTAACAAAGTCTTCTGACCACGCACACATGTGTGCACACATGTCCTCATTGGTAATTATACAGGTCTGTGTACGTGACAAAACCTAACCACACACACCTCCTGATTTTAATGGTTCCATGGGTCCGTACATGTGGCAAAATGTCACAGTGCGTACACACAGGTGAGTGACAAAACAGATGACGTCTGCAGGGCAGTTGGTACTGGAACAGCAATGTCAAGTTCCTGTGTTAGATCTTTGTACACAGTGAGTGGCTAAGATGCTGTATTACTGAGTGAAGTGGAGTCGGGAGCATTTAGGAAGTACACTACTTTTGCATTCTCTTATGAATCTAAAATTTTAAGATAGTTAAAACAGCTGATGAATTTGTTACTTTCCGCTTGGATGCCCCTAGCTTTTTCTTAAGATCTTAAAGACCCAGCTTCTTGTTGGTTTAAGAAGCCCAGTTTGTCCTTGGCTGCCCCACCCTGCTGTCCCTGTCCTCACTCTCTTCTGTCCCTTGCTACATTCGCATTCTAGGGGTGTTGCCTCTTCCATGCAGGAGCCCTGAGAGCTGCTGTGTTCTCAGATCAGACTAGCTGCACTCACATCTCAGCCCTCTATGACTTTTGCGGAGAACTCTTTTGTAACTTCTGAGTCAAAACATATTGCTGTCCAAAGCCTATGCTTACCCCCGGGGCATGTGGCTCAGGCCTTGTACCTTATTATTATTTGTTTCTGGTGTGGAGTGTCAGGAGTGTATCTGTTTTTACTCAGCATTGTATGGTGTTTAGCCAGCATTTGTTACGTGAGTACACACATCAAAAACAAATTTGCCAAACAACAGGTGGATTTTATACATGAGATGGATTGAATATTTGCACTTTTTAAATACGTTTTTTCTGTTTTGTGATCTATTATCATTGGTTAGGGCTCTGCCAGCAAGTAGTATTTGTTTGCGGTTAACTTTTCTGAAACCTGAGATGTATTATTTACTTGTTTCTGGATGTACTTTAAAATGTGAATTTGGGCAACTGGGAATCAATGCATTTATTAAAACCACCAGGTAATAGTTTATAATGGAAGAAGAGTTCCAAAAATACATTAAATATTTGAAGCATAATAGTAACTAAAATATATACACAATTTTAATGTGCGTTCATGTGGTAGAAATTGAAGTAGTGTTTTACTATTTGAAATGCATTGGGTAACTAATATTGTAGTTAACATGAAGTTGTTTCCCATTTATAGAGTGTGTGTTAATGTCACAGACGGCTAATGTGGTCAGTGTTCTCCAGGAGGATCTGGTAGGAACTTTGACAAATGCTTCACCTAGAAGAAATAAGTTGTAAAAACAGTAAAGCATACGTGTGTTTCTTCATAGTGATTGTTTTCACTGCTCTTTATGCACGCTTTAAAAATGCAGTTTTCATTACTATGATATTTATTACATTGCACTATTTTTACAGTGTATCATAATTGGAGAAAAATGATGGAAGAGAGTGGAATAGAGACAACCCCGCCTGGGACACCTCCACCAAACCCTGCAGGCCTGGCTGCCACTGCCATGAGCGCCTCTGCCAGCCCAGCTCCTCTGGGTAAGCAGTTGCCTTAACATCTTAGCGTTTCTAGAGTTGTATGATGCTGGGAGTGCCTGGTTACACTTTCTCTTATCTTTGTCAGGATGGAGGGAATAGCCTTCTTTATTGAAAAAAAAATTGAAAAATAGCCTTTTTTTTTAAAGTAAGAAAACAGCAGTGTTTTGCTTTAGGTAGACTTATTGTTCATAGTCATATTAACAATACCTGTTCTATTGCTTACAGTAACAGAAATATTAAAAAAATCCTGTGCCAGTTTTATGTAATATCCTGTGTCCCTGTGGTAACCCTTTTGAACCTCAGGCTTTTATAGTCATACCAGCGATAAAAAATGGCTTTATTTAGTGAAACTCACCAACACAAATAAACCAAAACCCAAGATCTGCTTAGTGAATAATGGCATAATTTAACTGCATCTAGATGCTTCCGTATGAGTGAAACATCATTTGCTCTCATTTAGTGTTAATTTATACATTTAAAATAATTCTTGGAATATGGCCTATTAACTTTTTAAGATGTGTAAGAAGAAAGTAATGAGAAAAACTAGTTAAGGAACATCTCTAATATTTTTCTTTTATCCTCTCCACCAGCCGCAACCAGTTCATTTTCTTCTGCCAACGTGTCCACCCTGGAGTCCTTGGCGCCGCACGCCTACTCCACTCCTCAGCCGTCCCTGGCTCCTGGCAAGCCGTCAGCGCCTCTTGTGCCTCCTTCCCCAGTTCCTTCTGTTCCACCACTTGGGACTTCTCTGCCACCTCCCATGTCCTCGGCACCTGCCGCAGCTTTCAGTAACCCTCCTCTGCCCCACCTGCCCCCTTCCACCTCCGCTCCAGGAACTCTGTTGTCTGCTGCCGCTTCCGGCCCTCCCATCTCAGGGTTTTCTGTTGGTTCGTCCTACGACATCACGAGGGGACACGCAGGAAGAGCGCCGCAGACGCCCCTCATGCCATCCTTTGCTGCACCTCCGGTGACAGGTAATTTGGTCACATTAGACTGCTTTCCCAGGCCACAGGCAGGGAGCTGGAAGGGAAGCGGGGCTGCCAGGATTAGAACCGGCGCCCATATGGGATCCCGGGCGTGCAAGGCGAGGACCTTTAACCACTTGCGCCACCGCGCTGGGCCCAATTTGGTCACATTAGTAAGCTGAACTACGTGACTGTAGTTAGTGTTGTATTTTTGAAAACTCTGTCTTTATTGAGATTCATTCCACATATTACACAATTCAATCTTCTAAAGTGCATTTTTTGGGTGAGCATTTGGCCAGAGGCTAAAGTGCCACTTGAGGAGCCTCCATCCCTTTAGAGTGCCTGGGTCTGAGTCCCGGCTAGCATTTCAGTTCCAGCTTCCTGCTGACATGGACCTTGCGAAGCAGCAACTGCTGGTGCGGGTCCTTGGGACTCTGTCACCCTCATGGAAGACCTGACACAGTTCTGGCCTCTCCATCTTCCTTACAAATGAAATAAAAAATAGAAAAACTAAAGTGTACAGTTCAATACTTGTTACTTTATTTACAGTTGCCATAGTTTTTGTAAGAAGCTACATTTTATCTAATCATTTTAATTATGTATTGAAGAGAGAGCACTCCCACTTGAGAGATCACCTACTGCCTCTGATGATGTGCATTGGCAGGAAGCTCAAGTGGAGAGTGGAGCCAGGACTTAACCCAGCACCATCAGTTGTATAACCTTTCATCATGCTTAAGGAAACCCCACACCCATGGCTGGCAGTTCCTATATTTCCCTAATTCTCACCACTCTAAGCAACCACTAATCTGCTTCCTGTCTGGATTGGTTTATTCTGGACATTTCACACAAATGAAATTCTGATCTTTCAGGGCTAATGTCTTTCACTTGGAATGTTTCAGGGTTTGTCCATTTGGCTGTGTGTGCCAGCACGTTGTTACCTTTCATGGCTAAGTAATAGGCTAGCATAATGAATAGGTCATGTCTTGCTTAGTTCATCAGTTGCTTTTGGCTTCATTCCACTTTCTGGTGGTGTGGATAGTGCTGCCTTAAACACCTGGGGAGGTGTGTGTATCATTGAGTCTCCATTCTCTTGGGTATAGACCAAGGCATGGAATTCTGACTTATGTGCTGCTCTTTGCCAAAGCAGGTGCACCAGTTTACTTTCTTAGTAGCAATGAATGGAGGTCCTATTGTTTTTGTGTGATGTAAAACTTAGTATATAATTAGCATAGGAGGTATCAGAAGAAATTCTAGAATTTTATCTTAACATTTCTGTATTTGTAAATATCAGTGTGAAATCTGATATTTTTTCAATATGTGCTTGAAAAGTTGTCAGGGCTAAATAGCCTGGGGGTAGTGTCATTTGCCTGGATGTACCAACAGTTGGTAATCCTGGGCCATCACTACGTCAGTTGCTTATACATTTTTGGCTTCTTGGGAATGGTTATTGGAAACCAGCTGTCAAAACTTCATCTTGGCTATGTTAGGGGAAAAAGCAACTTTGTTGTGATTTTTATGAACTCAACTTTGTTATCTGTTTTTACACATAAAATACATTGCAGAATATAAATTTTGCATCCCTGTCTATGTATGTGAATTTTCTATTTGAGTGAAAATGGTAATTGCCATGCTTTTATGTGATGAATGTAGGTCTTTAATATTTTTATAGATTAAAGAGTTTAGAACAACTGCTATCTACTTCCCATGCTAATTATAACATATACTTAACTTTTTGTTTTAAGATTCATTTATTTATTTGAAAGGCAGAGTTTGTGGAGCAAGAAAAAATAAAGAGATCTTCCATCCATTGGTTCATTCCCCAAATAGCTGGGTCAGGTCAAAGCCAGGAATCAGAAGCTTCTTCTGGGTCTCCGTTTGTAGGTGGTGGGGGTCCAAGAACTTGAGCTTTTTCTGCTGTTTTCCCAGGAACATTAGCAGAGAACTGAATCGGAAGTGGAGCAGCTGGGGCTTGAACTGGCATCCATATGACATGCCATAGATGGTAACTTTACACACTATGGCATGATGCCAGCCCGTTGATGAGCTCTGTGATAAAAATATTTTTGTTCATTTTTGGAACTCTTGATTTAAGCTCGTATAAAGGGAAATTAATTTCTTTTTTGGAATTCTGTTTGATTTGCATTTTGTAAAGGCATGGGGTAACATTGAGTTTATGACTTAATCTTGAAATGCTTCAGCATAGATTATGTTATTAAAGCTTACTTAAGCCACTTGCCTCATATTTATGTCATTTTTTATAGGAAAAAGATTATGGAATAAATCATACATGTTAAAATTTTTTACCACTGACTAGGTATTTTGCCAACCCCCATTACTCAGCAAGCCAGTTTGACATCTCTGGCGCCGGGAATGGGGACCCCGTCAGCCATTACCTTCCCGGAGGAACAGGAAGATCCTAGGATCAGTCAAGGACAGGATGAAGCGTCTGCCGGAGGAATCTGGGGTTTTATTAAGGTAAAAGGCACTTACTTTTTTTTTTTTTTAAGATTTATTTATTTTTATTGGAAAGTGAAATATACAGAGAGGAAGAGACACAGAGAAGAAAAGAGGCATTTACTGTTAAAGTTACTTTTGATTTTGAAAATGTAAAATAATGAAAAACTAAAAATATTTATTTTTATCACCAGTTTTTGTAGTGTTTTGTATGCATATGCATATTTATGTAGGTCTACTTTTTTTAGTATAAATCAAATTGAGAGTGACTTGCGGACACTATGTTGATGGAGTTTTGCTTTTGGCAGAGGAAGGGGGTTGTAGCTATAAGAGACGATCTTCCCAGCCGTAGAATATTGTAAAACCGTATGCTATTTAATGACTACTTTGCTTTTTATGCTATTACATTTTTGTTTGTTTTACATGTTTTATTTTATAAATCTGTGGTATGTTATTATTGTAATTGTTTTTAAAGGTTGATTGAAAGACAAAAATTTGTGCAGCACAATGTTTAGAAATATGTACCCATTGTGGAATGCTGAATTGAGCTTTTTGTATTATATATTATTGTAGTAGAAAAACTTAAACATCTATCCTTTTGGTGATATATAGTGTTCTTATTATAATCAACTTGTAGTACCTCTTATAACTGTTTTCTGTTTACAGTAGCAAAGAGATAACGTGTATCTTTTCTAGTGGGCATTCGTACATGTAAATGTTTATTGGCATCTCTGTTTCATTGGAATTAATTATTGTTATGATAGTATTCATTGAGTGAGTGTGTATTAATTTGTTTCATGCAGGGTGTGGCTGGGAATCCTATGGTGAAATCTGTGCTTGATAAGACAAAACATTCAGTTGAAAGTATGATTACAACGCTGGACCCTGGCATGGCTCCATATATCAGTAAGTGTATAAGTTAAATCAGTGGCTGCCATTGTTTTTTTAAAAGTATGTTTCAGTGTTAGCCAGTCATTGTAATTTCACTTTGTCTCCATTGATGATGTAGTCAGTGGAAATCTTGTTATGCCACATTTTCAGGCAAGTCTTTGTTGTTATTAATTCTTCGTGTTCTGAGTCACCAGAAAGTGAATTGTGAGAATACTACCAAATGAAGTTGGGAGGAGTGAATTATTAGTATATGCAGTTATTGGATTTTTCAATTTTTTTTTTATAAATTGAAAGGCAGAGTTGGAGAAGGGGAGAGATGGAGCGATTGTTGATCCACTGGTTTGCTCTGCAGAGGCTGTAATAGCCTGGGCTGGGCCAGGAACTCCTTCCAGGTCTCTCATGTTGGTGCCAGCTGTCTGGCACTTAGGCCTGCATCTGCTGCTGCCCCAGGCGCATTTGCGGGGAACTGAATCAGAAGTGGACCGGGTGGGACTCAGGCTGGCACTCACATGGGATCCCGGCATTTCAGCCAGTGACTTCACTTGGCTACACTGCAACACTGGTCCTTGCTCGTACAAGAGCTAAGATTGGTTAATGTGCATTTTATGTTTATTCAGTATTGAAATTTGGAACAGTACTCTTTGTTCACACTTGATTTGATGTTGATCAAATTATCTCTTTTCATAAATATGTTTAACTCCGGAGTAATATTTTGTAGGACATTAGTGTAGTTATTAATTGTATCTGATCATTGGATTTGTTGATATGGCCGTTTTAACCAGTTTTGAAATAGCATCAAGAATTCTCCAACCACCTGACAGAGATGTGGCCTGCGACTTGACTTTTAGCATATATAGCTAAGATGTGAAGAAACCTTGAAACTGTTTAGCACCACTGACCATGAGTAATCCTGTAGAAGATAGGGTCCTAAACAGATTTCCACTGTCAGTAAAAAACCACAGCTTTCATGGGTGTTGAGCGTGTTAATTGACTCTCCAGCAAATGCCGGAGGAGAACAAAGGGGTAGCAGTAGGCTTGTCGTCAATCATTGGTCGCATGCCTCTTCAGCAGCGACTGTCACAAAAGCACTGCGAGGACTTAACCACTTGCGCCACCGCGCCTTGCACGCCCGGGATCCCATATGGGCGCCGGTTCTAATCCCGGCAGCCCCGCTTCCCTTCCAGCTCCCTGCCTGTGGCCTGGGAAAGCAGTTGAGGACGGCCCAAAGCTTTGGGAACCTGCACCCGCGTGGGAGACCCGGAAGAGGCTCCTGGCTTCGGATCGGCATAGTATCGGCCCGTTGCGGCTCACTTGGGGAGTGAATCATCGGACGGAAGATCTTCCTCTCTGTCTCTCCTCTCTGTATATCCGCCTTTCCAATAAAAAATAATAAAAATAAATCTTTAAAAAAAAAAATAAAAAAAAAAAAAACAAAAGCACTGCGAGGCAGATTTTATTGCCTTGGAATTTGAATGTGGAACCCGAGTTCAGAGAGAGAGGTTATTGTCAGAAGTCTCACAGCTTGGTGGAGGGGGATTAAAACCAGGTACAGGGTTTTCATACTTTGCCTCTCTTGAAACAAAATTGAGTCAAAAATGAGCTGAACTGGTCTTTGTAATTGTGTAAGGGATTCATAGGTTGGACTATCCTTTATATATTAATCTCATATATTCATAATGATCAAATATTTCATAATGCATAGTGTTATTTTCTTCACACTACGTGTTTTGACTGAGGATAGAGAAAAAATTAATATTTTTTCAAGCCCTGGTTGGTGTAGTGTTCCTTGTTAGGATATGAAAGTAATGATCTTATTTAGTTACTTACAGCCAGTTGCATGAGGTGGCACGTGTTCTTTCTACAAAGAAAAGTTTGGTTAGTTTATTTTCCCAAGGTAACCAAGCCAGTAAATGACAAAGCCAAGACTCAAATCCAAGCCTGTGTCACAAGCCAGTGATTCCACAACAGTCAGAACAAGGCATAAACCAAAGGAGAAAAGGGAAAAATACAGAAATGAAATTTTTATCACTAGCAAATTTATATTAGCAAAACAATAAAACTGTCAAAATGCTAATACTTCACTGCTGACAAATCTGATCTAATACAAATCAAAATGAAATTTATGTGTTTTTTTACGATATTCTGGAAATCACTTAATGTATAGACTGCAAATGTATCAGAAGCACAAAACGTATCCTAAGTGGGTTGTAGCAAGCCTTAACCTTCTCCGTTCTGATTTTCCCCGCATGACACAGAATCAGAAGCGGTCTGGAGCTGTAGCTCAGTAGAACTCTCCCCGAGGGCCAGCAGAGATGTTCGCTAGGAGAGAAAAGCCCTCTTCCTCGCTGTCCTGTGCAGCCCCTCCAGCTCCTGGTCCCTCCTGGAGCTCCAAAGTGTGATCTGTGGACTAGCACACCAGTTAGGAAAAGGGATCCGTGATGTTAAAAAGTGCAAAAACCAAAAATCTAGCATTCAGGAAATAGCACCAAATGTTAGGTTAAAATTTTTTTGTTTTGTTTTGTTTTTAGGTTACAGTTTTTAAGAAAAGTCATGTAAGACATTTGGTCAAATTACTCTGGCCAGAAATAATAAGTACAAATGTTTTAAATAACTTTGAAAATATTTTTTTTCATATTTTATCATCTGAACATTTTTAATTTCCAAATTTTAATGTTATTTTAGCACTTACATTTCCAGAGCCTTATTAGAACAGTAGTATGTGTATTTATGCATATATATAATTTATAAATATGGCATTTTCTCTTTAATTTAAACTATGTGAATATGTAATAATTTAAAAACCCTGATGACCACTACATTTGTTTTATAGATAGAAGTGTTTCGTGGTGCTCCTTGTTACATGATTTCTGTACAACATTTTTTTTTTGAGGGGATCCTACATATGGAACTGGTTCCTGTCTTGGCAGCTCCACGTCCCATCCAGCTCCCTGCTTGTGGCCTGGGAAAGCAGTAGAGGATGGTCCAAAGCCTTGGGACGCTGCATCCACATGGGAGACCCAGAAGAAGCTCCTGGCTCCTGGCTCCTAGCTTCGGGTCTGCTCAGCTCTGGGTATTGTGGTCACTTGAGGAGTGAACCAACAGGTGGAAGATCTTTATCTCCTTCTCTCTGCAAATCTACCTCTCCAATAAAAAAATATATATCTTAAAAAAAGATTTTTTGAAAAGCTCAATTACAGAGAATCAAAGAAGGAGGGAAAGACAGGAGATTCCGTTTGGTGGTCACTCTGCACATGGTTGCAACAGCGAGCTGTGGGCCAGGCTGGAGCCAGGAGTTTATTCCAAGTCTGCCATGTGGGTGCAGGGCCCGAAGCCCTGACGCCATCTTCTGCTGCTTTCACATGTGCATTTTCAGGGCACTGGACTGGAAATGGAATGGCCAGAGCATGAGCCTGGCCCACATGGGAGGCTGGCATCATTTGTGGCACTTTAACCCACATCCCACAGCACCAGCCCCTGGAGCACTCTTTCACAGATAACTTTGTATCAGTACAAGCGTTTGTTTTTGCTTTCTGTAGAGTACCTGAAATGTGGAATCTGGGCTTTGCATGTTGAATATTTAATTCCTGTGATTGCTGTGTGGCTAAAGGACAGGAAATGGATATCAACATGGTGTGAAAAGTTTGGTAAATATCTATATGTATTAGCCAACATCAGGAAAACCATTTTGATTTGCAACCTTAAAAATATATTAGATTTATCCAAAGTATAAATAAATGAGACAGTAAAAGTTGGATAAATTAATAGAGCGATACAGTCAATATAGCTGTTTGCTTCTCTCTTTTTTTCTTTGTTAAAGTCACATTTACAGAGAGAGAGAGAGAGGGAGAGAGGGAGGAAAGGAAAGGAGAGAGAGAGAAGAAAAGAGAAGAGATCTTCTATCCTGTGGTTCACGCTTCATATGCCCCAAGGACCCAGGCTGGGCTAGGCTGAAGCCAGGGACCAAAAGCCAGGTCTCCCACGTTGGTGACAGGGACCGAAGTATTTGGACCGTCTTCCACTGTTCTTTCCAGGTCATTAGAGGGGAGCTGGATCAGAAGTGGAGCAGTTGGGACATCAGTCTGTGCCCATATGGGATGCCAGCACCACAGGCAGTGGCATTAGCTGCTAGGCCACAATGCTGGTCCCAATATAACTTATTTTTATGTTTTCTACATTACTACGTCATTCTCCAAACTGACTGGGGTGGAAAGCTTTTGGGGAGCCATTATTTGATGCTGAAGAAGTGCTTCCTGGATTTATTAAATATGGAAAGTACCGAGTTCATATCTTGGTTTCTAATTGTTGGTTCTCTCAGTCTTTGATCTGTTAATGAGCATTGTGAATCCTAGGAAAGGAATACAATGTACAGTGTTCCTCAGTGATTGGCTTCGAGATTGTGTACAGGCAGAGCTGCTAGTTTACCTGTGGCAGCAGTTCATGGAGAACGTGTGTGGTGTAGGATCCTCAGAACCATTAAGATATGTACCTTCTTCTGCTGACAGACAGCACTCCCACAGCCAATGTGCCAACTTGCCGTTTGTAGAAGTCAGAAGGCAGTGGGGTTGCGGAGCTGAGCTCCTGTTGGAATAAGCTGCTGTGAGAAGAGAGGGTGAACATGTGCCTGGTTGTGTCTGAGAGTTTCCAGGGAAGAGGAGTTCAGAGGCCAGCAGGCCCAGGAGTGGGTACTGCCGTGGGCACCATGTGCCTCTTACTTTCGGTGAGGTTTGTTTTGCCCCAGTGTCCTCAGTCACATGGAAAGGGTGATGATCTCACTCTTGGAAGGTTTATGAAGTTGGTAATAATTAGAAAGTGTTAGTACATGGCATGGTTGTATAAGAGTGTTAGGTTATTTGAGATTGAAATTTTCCTTTGGTGTTTTTAGAATCTGGAGGTGAACTGGATATTGTGGTGACCTCAAACAAAGAAGTTAAAGTGGCAGCTGTCCGCGATGCCTTCCAGGAGGTGTTTGGCTTGGCTATGGTTGTAGGGGAAGCCGGACAGTCCAACATCGCCCCACAACCAGTGGGCTACGCAGCTGGCCTCAAGGTGAGAAATAGAGCACGTTTTAGGGCATTCCAAGTGGCCCTTACCTTGTCATCATCGTGGTCATCATCTCGCAGTCTGCGTGAAGTGACAGTGTATGTATGGAGAGATGAAGATTAACTGTGCTTTTAGTTAGACGCTTAGTTAGACGCTTCTTAGTATCACATAAATATCACATAAATCTGTGTTAGGTTTTGGTTATTGGGGAGGAAAAGAAACAGCCAGAGAGTTTATAAAGAGAGTAATTTGTTCTAAAAGATATCTTAATCTGTTTTTAACCTTTCCATTGGTGCCTTTGGTTAGAATACCCTTGGAATTCATAAGCTTTTTATCACACTGTTAACGATATTAAAGTTCCAGGACTGTGCTCCTCCCGACAGCTACCAGCACCCATCCTTAATCCTTCTCTTCACCTCTGACACCTCCTCCCACGGCTGGACCCTGGCTCACGCCATGCCTCTGACATTCTCTTCTTGTATGCATCAGTAGTTATTGAGGAAGTTCTCATTCTTCTTCCTTTCTTTCTTTTTCTTTTCTTCTTTTTTTTTAAGATTTATTTTGTTTTTATTGGAAAGGCAGCTATACAGAGAGAAGGAGAGACACAAGGAAAAATTTTTCCATCTGTTGATTCACTCCCCAAACAGAGTTAACTCCCCAAAGGGCCACAACAGCTGGAGCTTAGCTTATGTGAAGTCAGCAGTAGGAGCTTCTCCCAGGTCTCCCATGCGGGCACAGGGTCCCAAGGCTTTTGGTCGTCCTCTACTGCTTTCCCAGGCCGCAAGCAGGGAGCTATCTAAGAAGTAGGGCAGCCAGAACGTGAACTGGTGCCCACACAGGATGCTGTGCTTGGAGCATTAGCCAGTTGAGCCATTGCAGTGGCCCCTCCTTCCTTTTTCTTTAGTGCTTCTGCACTTGACTTCCAGGATCCCACATTTGGGTGCTTTCCTGCATTGCTCCCTGTTTGCTCTGTTCTTCCCAGCTTCTGCTGGTCATGTCGGTCATCTTTGTGCTGGTGGCCCTAAACTTCTCTCCCCACCCGTCCAGCTGACACAGAGATTCTGTCTGAAAGGTGTCCAGTTCTTGATTTTCATCATAGTTTGTGTGTATTTAACTCCGATGCACCTGCAGTTCTAGCACGTGTGATTCTCTGCGAGTTGTCACCAGAGTCTTGGGTTTGGAAACACTCGCTGGGTAGCATTCAAGCGAAACAGCCACACTGAACTGAAAGCCTGAAAGCGCAGCATTAGATGGACTGCAAAAAGGCTACCTGTTTGCAGTTCACAAGCTGAAACAGGAAGCAGGGCGTGGCCTTGTCCAGTCCCTGACAGAAATGTATCAGGGACTCAGGTGCCTTGCTTCTAACTGTGCTTGTCTCAGTCAAATTCAGCAATCTTGAATCTGCAGATAACAGACAGCTGTTTTCACAGAGAACTGCATTCTGTTACAATACTGGTGTTTATATAAATGAGTTTATAAGAGCTTGCATTTATTAAGAGTATCCTACTCATGTAATATATGTAAAGCATTAGGTAAGGTCATTGCCATAGTGTATTTCACTGAGAAAAAAATCGGTTGTGTCAGTTGTAATTGGTCACCCAACATAATTCCATGTTACTTTCAGGTTATTTTTATTTATTTATTTTGATCTGCTTGAAAGAGCAGTAGAGGAGGGAAGCAGGGAAGGTGAGAAGGGGAAAGATTTTCCATCTGCTGTTCTGTTCATCAAATGCCTACAAAGCTGGGGCTGGCTCAGGCCGCAGCCAGCAGCCAGCAGCCAGCAGCTAGCAGCCTCAGTGCCATTTCCCCTGTGAGCGGCAGGACCCAATCAGTTGATCCATCATCTGATGTTACCCAGGGTGTGTTAGCAGGAAGCTAGATGGGGAGCTGAGTTGCGGAGACTCAAACCAGCCCAACCCTGTGATACGTATTGTGGATATTCTAGGTGGTGACTTAACTTGCACACCCTAGGACACTTCTGTTTCTACTAGACAGTGCTGTATGGATTTGATGTGCTTTTCCATTCGTTTATAATACTTTAAATGGAATATGAAGCCGTTTTACCCACATGTCAGTGTACATACATGCACCTTTTCTGCTTGGAGCCATGTCACAACAGTGAAGCTGTGATAGATACAGGATGAATCAAGGCACTCGTTTCCTGCCTTTGCACTTGTCATCTAGCATGTGCTTTCGCAGAGAGCCCTGCTGTCCAGGGATGTGCATCAGGCAGTGTCCCTGCTCCCCGAGGGTGTCCTGGAAGGTCGCTGTGCTGGAAATTTAGCAGAGCTAACTGATGGATGTTAGACGTGGCTAGTTTCATCCAGAAATGAAAATTAGTATGATAAGTGAGTAAAGTGATGATGTATCACAGTGAATGAACCAGTTATATGTATAAGGTGAGTCATCAGGCTCGGTGATTTTTATTTGGAAGAAAGGACAAGTCACATATATAGATGAAAATTATTTTAAAATTTCTACAGTGGTCTTGGAAGAAAGGGTAACCTGAAGAAAATACTAAAATAGGAATCGATTACTGCACAGAGAAGTTGGAGAGCCTGTTAACAGTTAGGACTGACACAAGGGCCTTGTATAAACTGGGATGTGTTGGACCTGACCGTGTGATGTGAGTGTTCATAGTGATGGTACTTTGTTTTAAAAAGAAGCATGTGAGAACTTATCAGTTTAGTCATGTAGTAAAGGATAAACACATCTGACAGGTTAGAAATTGAAATGGTTTATTCACTGATAGGAATTTGTGGCTTTGAGTCTCAGGGTGGTGGAGACTGGTAGGGGTGCCGAGTGCACTGGTGCCAAGTTCTCAGGTGTTCAGAAAGGTGACCAAGTGCTCAAGTGGGCATCTGTCACCACGGTTAAATGTGAAAGACGTTTAAGGAGGTATTTCTGCTACTTAGAAAGGAAAGGGAAACTTTCATTAAGTTTTCTCAGAATGAAAATGAATTTCCGTAACCAGCCAGCTGTGTGCAGCAGCTGCTTTATTATGGAGAATTTTTGTTTTATTTAAGGACAGCTTTTCAAAGCCATTTCTGTGACTGCAAATAGGCCTGGGGTGGGGGGAGTAAAACCTTTTTTGTAAAGATTTACTTATTTTCATTGGAAAGGTAGATTTACAGAGAGAAGGAAAGACAGAGAAAAAGATCCACTGACTCACCCCCAGATGGCTGCAACAGCCGAAGCTGAGCCCATCTGAAGCTGGGAACCAGGAGCTCCTTCCGGGTCTCCCATGCGGGTCCCAAGGCTTTGGGGTCTAGCCTTCTGTGTAACTCACTTTCCAATAAGTAAATAAATGTTTGAAGAAAAAAAAAATCGGTGAGTATTGAGCTGGAAAGGCTGATAGGCGTTCTTTTCCTCAGGAAAAGCCTTTATTTCCTGGACTTTTTTTTTTTTGCCAGTTCAGTTTGTTTTGTGATTTTATTACTAAATGGAAAATTTGCATTCTTTTTTTTTCACCATCTTTAATTAGAGAAAGCTTGAAAGTAAAGTTCTAACAAATTTGGCAGCTGTTTGCATTTCTAAGAAACAGCAGAGGGCGCCAATGAGATGGAAAAATCATAAGGAATGGTTTGAGAATTTTAACCTGTTTTTTTTTTCGAGCTCATGACTTTTCTGAAATAAATTTAAATTTGTCTTTTAAACATGAAATAACTTAAAGAAATCCTTCAACCACAGGTAAAGTTAGGAAGTTTCTGAAACTTGTATCGAGTATTATTTTATTGGAAAACTGTTAACAGCTATAGCTTTCTATAGTATATCCAACAAGTAAAGATTAGTGAATTCTACACATATTTTGAAAATATGTTGAATTTTAGTTACTCGCCCGGTTGCCCAGCATGAGCCCCGTGAGCGCAGTGCCATTCTAGGGGCTTCCAGTTGTTTACTGTGGCCTCCTGCCTGTTTCTTGATCCTCTGCACTGCTAAAAAATAAAATCCTGTTCTTAGAGCAGTTAATGCCTGTTGACCTTGATACAAAAGGCTCTACATGTGCGTCTCCTAAAGAGGCCACATTTTATTATTTTCTTTATGTAGCTGAAAGGCAGAGTTAGAAAGAACATACTCTTTCATATGCTGATTCCCTCTCCAGACCCTGCAGCATCTGGGACTGTGCCATGCTGAAGGCAGAATCTGGAGCTTCTTCCGGTCTCCCCGTGGGTGCAGGGCCTAGGGTTACAGAGAGGGAAGGAGAGATTTTCTAGCAGCTGATTCACTCCCTAAATGGCTACGATGGCCAACCTGGGCCAGTTGAACCAGGATCCTGGAATTGCCCATGAGTTTCTCATGTGGGTACAGGGGCCCAAACTCTTGAGTCTTCTACTTTCCCAGGTGCATTATCAGGGAGGTGACTCAGAAGTGGAAATGCTGGGATTTAGACTGGTCCTTCAGAATGGGATGCCAGCACCGCAGGTAGCAGTTTAACATAATGTGCTGCAACGTGGCCCCACTGTTTGCTAATTTGGAGAAGTGATTCCTCACTCCTGCGCTTGTTGTCTAGGGCGCCCAGGAACGTATAGACAGTCTGCGTCGCTCAGGAGTGATCCACGAGAAGCAGACTGCCGTGTCGGTGGAAAACTTCATTGCAGAATTGCTGCCTGACAAGTAAGAGGGTTTTGTTTCTCCTCAAAGCCAAATGTAGTTGGATCTGGAGGTTCCCATCAAATGCCAGCAGAGGGTGTATCATTCTAAAACCAGTACTTGACTAGCTGTACTAGCTGACATTTTTCTCCTTTTTCTCCCTTTAAGTATAAAATGAAGATACCTGCTCTCTAAGCTTGTGCCAGTGATCACAGTTGAAAGCACTAGATGTGAGCTCTCGCAGTGGTGCCGGCTTGGATACCACTGAGCAGCATGCATGATCATTTACGCATTTACTCAGGGTGACAGAACGGTGTGGGGAGACCTGGAGGCAGTGTTGGGTGTGACGCTTGCTGGCCACTTTCTCAGAAAAACCTGAAGATGATGTAATCCATTATCTTTCTTGAAGGCTCTGTAATTTTAACAGCTGGGATTTTTTTTTAAGATTTATTTATTTATTTTCATTACAATGTCAGATATACAGAGAGGAGGAGAGACAGAGAGGAAGATCTTCCGTCCAAGTGACCTCAACGGCCGGTGCTGCACTGATCTGAAGCCTGAAGCCGGGATCCCAGAACCTCCTCTGGGTCTCTCACATGGGTCCAGGGTCCCAAAGCTTTGGGCCGTCCTCAACTGCTCTCCCAGGCCACAAGCAGGGAACTGGATGGGAAGTGGGGCTGCCGGGATAGAACCGGCACCCATATGGGATCCCTGCGCGTTCAAGATGAGGACTTTAGCTACTAGGCCATGGTGCCGGGCCCCAGCTGAAGTTTTAATGGTAATTTTTTTTTTTTGTAGATGCCAACTGATTTAAAATAACTTTGAAATTTTTTACACTTGTGCTATGGTTTTCTTGCTTTTCTTTCAGTGTTTTTTGTTCATTATTGAATAACAGTGTGTCTAGTGCTTTGTGGGTGTGGTGTAGGGAAAATGTTCTCCAACCTGGACCATGTATTCTGGGTCAGTTGGCAGTGAAATGAACAGCTTTAAATTCTTTGCTGAGATGAAACATTATATTTCAGTGAGGAGAAATGCAGGTAGGGTGAGATGAAATTCATGAGTGGTTAGTGCTTGAATCGATAAAACTGGGATAAGCAAACGTGAGAGTGGAGAGGACTTTGGCAGAAGGCGGAGGTAATGGTAAGGTACTCTGGGGTGGGTGATTGCATCAGCTTGGCAGGGAGCTTGTTGGATGGCACATCAAGAAGTGATATGGGGCAGATAGTGCACAACTTTGAATTCTCTGAACTCACAACAAATTTTGTTGTGTTACAACAAAAATGTAATTCTGAAAGTGCTTCTTCTGTTTCTTGTGGTGTTGTCAAGCATGACAGAGCAAGGTGGGGGTTGAATCCTTCATTCATTGGTTCACTACCCCATGTCTGCAACGATCACTCATGGGTTCACTACCCAAAAGCCAGGAACGAGGAACTCCGTCCCACATGGGTGGCTGGAGCCCAAATCCTCAGGCGGTCACCTGTGCTCGGGCACATTAGGAAGTAGCTGAAGAGTCACTGAGAAGCTGGTCCCTAGGTCTTCACAGGACAGTCCCACGGGGCGTCTCCACTTGCTGCAGCGCAATGCCCACCCCCCCACACACACACTGCTTTTGAACTCCTACAGTATTCTTGGTGTTGCACTGTCAGCATTCATTTTGGTGGGCCCTATGGGGGTCTGCAGTTTTGCTTTGCTGCCTCAGATTTTTCTGCTGCCTTAAGATCTTCTTTTGATACTATATTGTAATGCAGGGTTGCTCACTAGACATGCTGTTAGTTTTTGTTTGTCTAAAAGCACTTTAATTCACCTTTAATTTCAGTTGGTGTCGAGGTTTCAACTGGCGGTTCTTGTCTTTAGGCCCTTTAAAGATGCGTTGGAGTTGCTGGCCCTGCTGTTTGTGATGAGCAATCAGCTGTCTCGTTTGGGCTCTGTGAAGGTGACACCAGGTCCCCTCATCTGCAGTCTTGACTTCACAGATGTATTATCTTGACTGAAAAAGCAGTCATAAAAATCTGAAATACTGATTAGTAAATGCTATTATTTATTGTTTCATATTTGGGAGCATAATTTTAAGATTTGAATACTGCAGACATTACAAGCTTCCATTTTAATAATCAATATATAAATACAGGTCTTCTCCATTTTACACGTCGGTGTACTTCATCATATCTAGCGGCTGTTAGAAATAGGATCTTTGGCTCTTGTGTCACTTCAGCTCCTGCTCCTGTTTAGTTTCTGATTTTAGGGTATCCGGTGTCCCTGGTTTTAGCTAATCGCATCCTGTGTTTGGCCTCTCTTATGTCAGATTTAAAACAAATTACTTTATATGCTCTATTAAGTGGAAGAATATTTCTTTGATTTTAGAAGGCCTTTTTCAAAGATTCACTTAGTGTGGGTAACTCGGGGAGTTACCAGGATTTATCAGCAGTGAGGCGAGTGTCGTTTCTCCAGAATGTGCTGACTTTTTTTGGTAGTAGCTTTGTTAGTTGACTGCATATCTGTGATAAAATTGGCAATACAACATTACCTGTGTTTTACAAGTGATATTTTAAATATAGTATTCATGATAAGCTATTTGCATCTACAGAGAACGTAAGTTTATCTGTTACAAATGTATGTATTCTCCTTTCATCATCCCACCCCATCTGAACAAGAAGGGCAAATTTCCACAGTAAGCCATTTACCCTTGTGTTTCTTTGTGATTGCTCCCCATTCTGTTTCTCCTCATGAAATTAAGCCAGTAGAGTCAGATCTTATTGGTTGTGTATGTTGTTTTCTTTTGGTTGATTTTTAAAAAATTCTTTCTTGATATCTGCTGATTTTTATCTCAGTAGTGGTCTTGGTTTATTTTTTTCCTTTGTTCTTATTACTATTGAGTTACTCATAGCCCATACATCCTCTTGCAGATGGTTTGACATTGGCTGTTTGGTGGTTGAAGATCCCGTGCACGGCATTCATCTAGAAGCATTTACACAGGCCACACCAGTGCCTCTGGAATTTGTACAACAGGTTGGTTCCTCCTTAGCTTACTCATTATGCATCAGAACCTAACATTTTCAAAATATAACTGGGTAGTGGATAATGTTTCTGACTTTGCTTCAGTCTTTTTTTTTAATATTTATTTTATTTTATTTTATTTTATTTTATTCAAAAGCCAACATGGGAGAGAGTGAGATCGTCCATCTGCTGGTTTATTTCCCAGATGGTCATAATGGCTGAGGTTGGACAGGGCAGGACTGGGAGCCTAGAATTCAATACAGATGTCCCGTGTGGATGGCAGGAGCTCAAGTCCTTGGGCGTGTTACTGGGGAGCTGGATTGGAAGGTGGGCAGCTAAGACTACACGTGGCAGTCATGTGGTTTGCAAGCATCACAGGAGGTAGTTTAACCTACTGTATCACGATGCCCACCATTATTTCCACCTTTTCTCTTTTAGCTTCTTTCTTTGCTTTTTAATTTTCCTGTCGTTCCATATTATCTTGTTACATCTGCTTGCCTTTCCAGCTGCCCTGAAGTAGATATTCATACATTATGTGATTGGTCATTATTTTGTTCGTGGTTTTGTTTTTATGGTAATGTTGCTTATCCTGAGGTTAGAAAAAGATTTGCTGTGTTTGGTTAATGTCTACTTTTCACTGACTCTTGCCTTTATGTGACATTTTCATTTTCAAGATTTCTCCATTTGCCCTTTCTTTAATTTGGTCTTTCTTGTTAGTTGGTCCTGAGTAACAGTTCACTATGTGAAAACTGAGATGATAGGATGCCCTCAAGTTTATTGACTGAAAGATGGACTCAGGGCTCAGTGCAGTGGCTCGGTTGGCTAATCCTCTGCCTTCACTCGCCAGGAACCCACATGAGCACTAGTTCATGTCCTGCTTCCCCACTTCCCATCCAGCTCCCTGCTTGTGGGCTGGGAAAGCAACAGAGGATGGGCCAAAGCCTTGGGACCCTGCACCCGCATGGGAGATCTGGAGTAGGCTGCTGGATCCTGACTTCAGATTAGCTCAGCTCTGACTGCTGTGTCCATTTGGAGAGTGAGCCAGCAGATACAGTCTTTCTGTCTCTCCTTCTCCCTGCAAATCTGCCTTTCCGATAAAAATAAATAAATAAATAAATCTTAAACAGAAAAAAAAAAAAAAGAACAAAAGGGTGGTGTTCCTATTCCTATACTTTCCAAAAGAATGTAAGCATAAAAGTATTAATGGTAATTCTTACTTTTTTATAGTCTTTTATATTTTCTCTAATTCTTTCATAAGCAAAATGAGATATAAATACGTATTTGCTTTGGAATATCTATACTATTAAATGGTGTTTTGTTACCTTTTTTTATGGATTTCATGAAATTTTTATCGTGATTATACTTTTGATATTGTTAAATATAATTCCAAAAGTATCTCAGGGTAATTTCGACTTTGCAGGCATATGTGCATTTGGTAATACTGTTGGATTCTCTCCCAAGAAAATGTGCGTTACACTTACTTATAACTGTGGTGTATGTTTCCCTGAAAGCATTTGTATCCCTCTTAGAGGTTTACAGTTTAGAAAGAGGCCTAAGAATTGATGCTTAGTATTTTTAAATTGTGTTAAAACTTGTAAAATTTTTCAGAAGTTATAGACAATCTTTTTATAGACCATTCAGTTTGCTCCACCCTGAAGGTGATTCAGATATGCTAGTGAATATGCTAGTGGAGAATAAGATGGGCCTGCACTCCCTGCTGTTGCAGGATGCCGGTGGTGTGACCGCCACGAGCAGCACATCCAGTGTGATCCCCCTTCCCAGCAGGGCCGTGTGTAGACACACCCACACATGTGCTGGAGAAATTCAGATGAGTGTGGGAAGGAGACTTGGAAAGATGCACAGCTGAATGTTCATAGTGGGGAATTCAAGAGGATGTCATTTACTTTTTTATGGTGCCCCTTATATTTGTGAGGGTTTTTTTGTCAACTGGCTTTCAAATTGAAATGGTAATAAAAATATTTGTATTAAAATTCCTGCTTTGACTAGCAGAGCCCTTCCTCCTTATTAAATCCAACCTGAAGTGTATTATGCGTCTGCTTCTTTCGTAGGTAGGTCTTTCTTTTCTTTTTTGAATTCAAGGGAATAGAAATCAGCCCTTCAGGAAATGAATTGAGCAAATGTTCACTGAATTGGTTGAAGTTTTAACACGCAATTGGGCTTTTGTGATTGTAAAAGACAATTCCAGTGCTGACTTCGGGACGAACCTTGTTGTTGAGCTGAAGCAACACTATGTGGTGCTGGGGTTTAAGCCACCTGAATCACTGCTCTGGTACTTGATGGACTCACTAGAATTAGATTATGTTTGAACAAAAAGGCACAGTGGAGATCTTTTCAACAAGCAGACGTGTATGGTATTTGGTTCTTTCATAGCTCTGTACCTTTGTGCAGTTGGTAGTGTAACAGCTATGCTCTTCAGAGTTTGTCATCATCTGTACAAGGAACCAGGGAGACTTGGAAAGATGGCTTGTTGCAGTGGTATCTTGCAATGTACTGTAATACATGCCCTGGTTTCCCCACAGGCTCAGAGTCTGACTCCCCAGGACTACAATCTGAGATGGTCAGGCCTTCTGGTGACAGTAGGCGAAGTCCTGGAAAAAAGTTTAATCAATGTCAGCCGGACTGATTGGCACATGGCTTTCACTGGTGTGTCCCGTCGGCAGATGATCTACAGCGCAGCCAAAGCGATCGCAGGCATGTATAAGCAGCGCCTGCCCCCCAGGACCGTGTGAGCCAGGCTGTCAGGCTCGTGGATGGGAAGTCTCGTCTGAATCCAGCATTTTGATAATTATCCTATAGGCTGCCATTTTTCTTTGTGTAGCAAGACATGGTGTTAGTCTAATTGGTAAGAAGAAACGTGCTTTTTATAGTCATGTAATTTCACATGTGATAGTTCTCAAAAAAAAAAAAACGCAAATATATTTATAGCACAATTTATTATCTCAGATTTATAAGGTGACAATTCATGTGCAGAAACACTTAACCTCATGATTTTTACTTGATTATTTTGTTGTTTAAAGATATGGTTCGTTAAAGAAAATGTTTATTGATTATTCCCTAAAAGCTTCTGTTGCTTCCCTTCCCTGTTGGTCTTTGATGCCTTTGCCTGTGTGCTGGCTCTTGGAGACGGTGCCCGGGCACTGTGTGGTCAGACTCTAAGACGGCATCATGTCAGGAGGTGGTGCACCTTCCTGTGTGTGTTTTCAGTAACAGGGACAAAACAACGGAATTGGTCATTTTCTTCCTGGCCAACATGTATATGTATAGTCTGGGAAAGTATATTTTTTAAAAAATATGATTTGGAGCATTTTACAGATTTACGCAACATTCATTGGGATAATGCAGGTTGTTTTTGTTGCTGTCTGATAGTTTTGGGGACAGCTGGTTAGAGTGTGGCTCAGAAGCATTTGTCGTAGGGCACTGCTCAGTGCTTGCAGCCGTTGTTTCTGCTTCTGCCCGTTCCCCACACCACAATGGAGCTCTTGAAAGGGTTTTGTTGCTGTTGATTTTGAGGTTATATGCCTCTTGTTACTTCTTAGTTTGCCTTAAATACTCATTTTCTAACTCTGCCATTCTGCCTTTACTTTTTAGGAATGTTTTCAAAGAAACTATTTTATATTCAATGTGGTGTGTTTAGTCCATTGTGTTTGTATTTAGTTAAGCTTCCCTCTCTCCTCAAGTAATATATTTTACCATTTTTGGATTTATATAAATGAAAATTAAATGTTTTTTTTTTTCTGATATTCTTGAACTCTGTAAGCCCAAGATAGCCTTTTGAAGATCTTTCTGATAAATATAGGATCTGCTTTTTGTTTGCTGTTCTGTGTAGTCCTTTGCATGTAGAACTCATGGTGTCTGGCCGTTGTAAAAAGGTGAGAGAACTTCGGGGCCCGTGCTGCCTTTACTGCCCAGCTCTCCTCGTAGCATCGTTCAGGTGCTTATATGATTCTTGATCCTCACCTGGGCTTAAGGAGAAGTCAGTGTTGATTTTGGAACTATGGGATAGCTTCATTCCCAAGCACCATGCCATGCTTGTTGAGTGACATTCATACTTCAGCGTCGTGCGCTGTCATGTGAGACAGGGGTACCCCTGCTACCCGAGGTGACAGGAACATGGCTCTTCTCCTTTCTTCACCAGGAGTACCAGGGAGGAGCCCGTCTGCCCTTAGTTTAAATATCATCCTTTCTTAACAGTATTTTACCGGGTCATTAACCCAATGACAAAAACCCAGACATTTCTTCCCAACTGGAGGAAAAGTGTGTACCATTCTTTGCAGATACTCTGCCGCTCTCCCTCCTGTCATGGGGAAATCTTCAAGATCTGCCTGGGTTCCTCTTTTTTCAAATGTTATTTGAGTTTGTGTCTTAGTGCCACTTTGCTTACTGGGCACTGCTGGAGGTCTGTCCTGACGGAAGCACAGGCATCAACTCTGCCTTGATGGTGGTCTCCCTGGTCTCTCCCTGTGTCTGCCCGCTGCCAAGGCGCGTTCCTGCCCTGAGAAGCCTTATGTCCTTTGCAGCATGGGAATGAGTGAGGAGGCCGGGCAGGTGCACGAGAGAGGTGAATGTTCTGGTCTGGCCTCTCTGGTTCTTTTTGATGGCTCAGCAGTCTCTAAGGAAGTCGTCAGCACAGAATGGGCTGCACACACTCAGCCTCCTCCACCTCCTGGCTCCTGTTTTCCTGTTGTGCAGTGCAGAGACAAGCATGGGGCCTGGCCCTTATTGGAAGGCTGCATGTCCCTATTGCCTCCTCTTGTTCCTCAGATCCTTGGCTGTCCCACCAGCGATTCAGGGGAAGGTGGCTCTCTGCTCCTCTTCTCCCTCAAGCTTTCTTTAACTTCTGTCGCCATGGTCTTTCTTGTCGTATGTTTTTCTTCTGAATAGCTTTAGACGACCAAGTTTTATATTGTATATATTTTCATCCACCTGCTTGGATTTTGTAAGCTTGTGCTGCATGTATTTATTTTACTACTTAGTGTGAAAGAAGATGGAGGAGAGGCAGGCACTTACTTGGTGTCAGTCTGAGTGGGCAGAGGCGAGGATGGTACAGAGCAGGGCCTTGTCTCTTCAGGGGCCTGAGGCTGCCCTGCTCAGCAGCCATGCACTACCCTGCTCGCAGCCATGCCCTGCTCGCAGCCTGCCCTGCCCTGCTCATTGCTGTGCCCTGCCCTGCTCGCAGCCGTGCCCTGCCCTGCTCAGCAGCCATGCACTACCCTGCTCGCAGCTGTGCCCTGCCCTGCTCACTGCTGTGCCCTGCCCTGCTCAGCAGCCATGCATTACCCTGCTTGCAGCCTGCCCTGCCCTGCTCTGCTCGCAGCATGCCCTGTCCTGCTCAACAGCCATGCACTACCTTGCTCACTGCTGTGCCCTGCCCTGCTCGCAGCCGTGCCCTGCCCTGCTCGCAGCCATGCCCTGCCCTGCCCTGCTCGCAGCCGTGCCCTGCCCTGCTCGCAGCCGTGCCCCTGGCGTCCAGAACTCGCCCACGTTCAGTGTTGACAGTGTCACTGGCGGTTTCCTCTCCTGCTTCTCTAGTTACTCTTACTTGCCCATTCTGTGTTCCCCTTTCTCTTGAGAATAAATGAAGGAGAAAATGGAGATGAAAGAATATAGACAAAAAGACACTATGGTACCAAGTATAAATATCAAAAATACAGATGAAATTGTACTTGTTCATTGGCTCAAAATTATGTAAATTAGCGATTACTCAGGGTCAACAAAAATCAATATGCTGTTGAATTTTCTGTACTTTTTGACTAGGAAAAAACTTCCAACAGGACTTTGATTTGTGAGGCCAAATTGATAATGTCCTGTGTTCTGAAAGTTTCTGGATTATACGTAGGTTATTAAAACATTTGGACTTTTATTCCTGGGGTATGGTGTTCATTTATGATTTGCAGGATGATGTATGGGTAACAGATTTGTAACTATGTAAATGGGTCATAAATAAATAATACTTTGACTTACTTCCCTAGAGTGTATAGTGATTTTTTAAAAAAATGCTCATTTATACCAATATTGTTTAAGGATCCTTCCTTTTTTTTTTTGTCTGAATTGCTGACTTGCTGCCAGGAAGTCTTATAGGAAAACAACTTTAAAATCTGCCTTTCTGGGCCCGGAGCGGTGGCGCAAGTGGTTAAAGGTCCTCGCCTAGCACGCCCGGGATCCCATATGGGCGCCGGTTCTAATCCCGGCAGCCCCGCTTCCCTTCCAGCTCCCTGCCTGTGGCCTGGGAAGGCAGTCGAGGACAGCCCAAAGCTTTGGGAACCTGCACCCGCGTGGGAGACCCAGAAGAGGCTCCTGGCTTCGGATCGGCATAGTATCGGCCCGTTGCGCTCACTTGGGGAGTGAATCATCGGACGGAAGATCTTTCTCTCTGTCTCTCCTCTCTCTGTATATCCGCCTTTCCAATGAAAAAATAATAATAAAAAAAAAAAATCTGCCTTTCTATTGGAAATGTAACATTCAAATAAACCAGAATTGCCAACTTCAAAGAACTCACAATATTTAGGCTCCATTGGAAATAATGGTAGTAGGCAAGATTTTAAGGCCTGTGATCATGAGACCCCTCCCTTCCAGAAGTGCCTTTGGTTGTTTTGTGTTTTAGAGAAGTTATCAGGAAAGGTGCAGAGGTTTCCTGTATGTCCCCTGCTCCCACACTTAGCGCCCACCTGGTCCTTCTCTTGCTGCGGTGACACATCAGGCATCCAGGGTCGTGTTCCTCGGGTCGGTTTTGGTGTTCTTTTCATGCTTCTGTCATTTGGCATTGCCACCCTTACAACCCTCAGTGCCCGTCTCGTCAGCCCTCCTGCCCCAGCCACAGGGAAGCACTGGTTGTTTTACCATAGCTTTTTCTTTTCCAGAAGAATCTGTAGCTGGAATCAGTAGGTAGCCTTTTCCAGTTGGCTTCTTGATAACGTGTTGAAGGCTCCTCTGTGTGTTCATTTCCTTCGGTGCTGCAGATCCTGGTGTCTCATTGCATCATGGACTACCCACCCACCAAGCCCCTGGTGGGTGACTTGGTTATAACCCAGTGTAGGCATTTAGGAGAAAAGCTGCTGTGAGCTTCTAAGTGCAGGTTTCTGTGTGGGCTAGATTGTAACTCCTTTGGGCAAACACCTGTGTTACTGGGTCACATGTTAAGAAAGGTGTGAAGGAACGTGCTGAATTGTTTTCCAAAATGCCTGCGCTTCTTGTGGCTGTTGTTGTTGTTGTTGTTTACTCTTTGCTATAAATATGCTGTTCTGACCATATGATCCTAGGACCAGACAGTTTTGCTTTGATGTGGTGATGAGGATGATGGCGACACACTTGCTAGGAGATGATTTGGGGCAAGGTTGCCTAGATGTGTTTATTTGCTGACAAACAACAGTATTATTTTCAATAGGATAAAAGCCTACCAGTTCAGGAACTGGGAAAAACCTTGTTAAATTTTTATTTCAAAATTAACTGGAAGAAAAAAAAAAGCGGTTTGGTAATAGAAACAAAATTAGCCAAAAGGCCGATTTGGTGCTGGCACTTGGCACAGCAGTTAAGAAGTCCCTTTGTCGCTTGGGTCGTTGTGATCTCCACTGTCCACATGGAAGGCTCTAATTGTGTGTGAGGCTCCTGGTTTGGGGCCTGACGCAGCCCAAACAGTCGTGGGCACTGAAGGAATGAGCCAGCATATGCAAAACCTCTATGTGTGTGTGTGTGTGTGTGTGTGTGCGCGCACGCATGTATGCTTTGCAAACAAAAATCTGAAAAATTACTGTAAGTTATTCCTTTACAGGTGGAAGAAATCTTTTAAAATAAATCATGCTTAAAATGAATACATTTTAAGAATTAAAAATAGTAAGAAAGGAAAGAAGAACTAATACAGTAACTTTCTCATTGAGAAGACATTTCAGTGGGAACTCAAGCCTGTATTATGTTTCCGAGTTCTCAGATTTGATTTCTCCATGTTTATAAATAAACAGACTTTAGCTGCCCAGTGCCATCTTAGCAGATGGATGAGAGTCCCACTTTGTGTGGGATTTGCTAAAAGAATCCTCTCCCATAACACCCAGAGTGTTCACTTCAGACATTGTGAGGGCGTAATTAATTCTGTAAATATTTATTGAATGAACGTGAACTCAGATAGTAGCATGATTTCAGTGTTCTTCTACTTACAGTTTTACACTATACAGTTCCTCTGCTGTATTCTGTTTATTTTAGCTTGAAAGGCTGTTTTGGGTTTTGTTGCAGGTTTGAAAATACGTGTGTAACATTTGGATATTCTGTTCCCAACTTTTAGAGTCATGAGCTAAGTTTACCACTGGCTGTGATGCTTGGGATAAAGGCGGAGTATTCTCTGATAACATCAGCAGGTATTTGAAGAACATTTCTTACTGTTAAACTGGTCTATACTCAAGGTACTGACTACCTGCCTGTTAGAGTAGTTTAAACACTGCTCCTGGAGAACAGTAAACAGTGGGTCACAGTGATGCCCGAGGAAGGCCCAGCGCCCCTGGGGCTTAGGCAATGTCTGGGCCCATGCTGTGGCTGGGGTATGATGGGGCTCCCCATCCCAGCTGGGCTACCTCATCAAGGACATGAAGATCAAGTCCCAGGAGGAGGTCACTCATCTCCTTGCCCATCAAGGAATCAGGAAATGGGACTGTCTGGGGTGTCCCATGCTGCAAGGATGTGGTGCAGACCAGCTGCAAGGCCTTGCCGCCGTCAGGGACTCAGTTGCTTTGTGAGTCTTGTTGCAGGAGGAGGCACCCACCGCCATCTGAAGGACCATCATCCCAAGCTGTGTTTGTACAGACTACAGGGAGAGCAAGAGTGCGAGCCCTCACATGTGTTACTGGTTTGGTTTTTTGTTTTGTTTTGTTTTGTTTGTATGTCAACATTCCTTTGAGTTCGCCTACAGTTGGTCCTTTCCGTGTTCTCTCTGTCTGCATTTCTGGGCTTCCTTCTTTGATTATTTTTTGTTTTTCTCCTTCATCCTGCAGAAAAATCTCTGGATATT